CACTGTCCCACTGTCTCCTCCGTTGTCCCACTGAGCTGTCCCACTGTTCCCACCACTGTTCCCACCACTGTCCCCACTGTCCCCACCACTGTCCCTACAGTGCCTCTGTCCCATTGTCCCACCGCCGTCCTCGCCACCGCCCTCACCACTGTCCCCACCACCTCTGTACCCTCCACTGTTCCATTGTTTCCACCACATTCCCACTGTCCCCACACCACTGTCCCCACCACCACAGTCCCCACCACTGTCCCACTGTCCCCACAGTTCTCACCATTGTACCCGCTGTCCCCACCAGTGCCCCCACCAGTGTGTCAATGTCTCCACTCTCCCCACCATTGTTCCACCACTCTCCCCAGTCTCCCCACTTTCCCCACGGTCCCCACCACTGTCCCCACTGTACCCACTACTGTCCCAATGTCCCCGCCGCTGCCCCACTGTGCTGTCCCAGCGTCCCCACTGTCCTCATCACTGTCCCACTGTCCCCACCACTTTCCCCACTGTGCTACTGTCCCACCACTGTCCTCACCACCGCCTCACCACTGTCCCCACCACTACCATCCCCACTACTGTCCCACTGTCCCCACCACTGTCCCGCTGTCCCCTCACCACTGTCCCCACCACCACCGTCCCCACCACTGTCCGCCCCCCCCCCCGGTTTTCGAGGGGGGGGGGGGTCGAACCGTAGTGGCCCCCCCCGGTGTTCGAGGGGGGGAGGGGGGGGTTCGAACCGGTAGTGACCCCCCCCTTTTCATGATGGACTGGGGGGGGGGAGGGGTTCGAACCGGTAGTGACCCCCCCCGGTTTTCCGGGGGGGGGTTCGAACCGGTAGTGACCCCCCCCGGTTTTCCGCCAGCAGCGGTAGAACACGCTCTTTGTCATTTTGTTTCTCCCCCCCTCCCCCTTACGTGCTCTGCCATGGGAATTCGCAAGGCTTGACAACATGATTTTACCGTCGCAGCGCTCCTCACTGGTTGATGATCCTCCTCGGTCGCTCGGGTGAGGAGACGGCCCAACGGCATATGTCCAGGAACCCCCTCCCCAGCGCTGGTCGATTTCGGATCCGTTTCCTCAGCGCATCTTCGGCGGATCGGCAGCCCTCGGACGCTCGCTCAGGGCCATATCGAGATCGGAGAGAGGAGAAGCGACACCAAGACCACCAGGTGGGCCACCTCCAACGAGGTCCGCGATGCCCTCCCGAGCTGGAGGCTGGGGATGTCTCGAGCGAGAGGAGAGGACCACACCACCAGGGAGACTCGCCTTGCACCTCGCATCTCCTCGCCCTGGTGGTGTTGGTGTCGCCTTTCCTTGTTCCTATCGAGAGGGGGAGGGCAATACGCGGAACGGACCTCCTGGTCGCGCGCTGGGGACCCGAACAGGAGGAGGACGAGAACGTCAACCCGCAGACGATGCGCGAGCAGCACGTCCCCACCGAGACGCTGGCACGTCGCAGGCGCCGCTTGGGAGCTTTGTCGCCGTGCATCCTTGTGCGTGGCCGCTTGCGCCAGGCTCCAGTTTCGGGTCGGGCGAAAGGGGGGGTCTGGGAAAGGGGGGGTTACGAAATCTGCTGCATGTAGCTGGTTTCGGCCCCACCGAGGGGCCCATTTCCTGATACATGGCCGCCTCCAGCGCCGGGAAGCGCCGGGAAAATCAGCTACGTGAGCTGATTCTCAAACCCCCCCTTTGCTATCCCCCCCTTTCGCCCGGCCCGACAGTTGCTCGCTGCAGCTTTCAGAAGCAGATGCCGAGCGACAGGAAACTACGAAGGAGAAGCTTTCGTCGGCCACGCGCGGACGGGGGCAAATAAGGGGAGGGGGGAGGCTTCTCAGAAGCACCCCCCTGCTTCTTAGAAGGCGCGGGCCTTGTCTATAGATGCAGGGCCGGCGCCGTCTGAGAAGCAGCCTCCTTCGAAAGAGCCTTCCACCCCTCCCCCTACAGTGGAAACCCATGCCAGGAAACACTATGCTTGTCTCCAGGGTGCCCTGGGTTGCTTGGGTTTCGATAGTTTTGCGATGGAGAGCGTGACGTTCACCCCAAAAATCAATGAACGTCCTTGGATTCCAGGTCTGGGTTTCTTTTGGAAGGTTTCTTGTGGTCGAGCTCCTACTGTATGTTTGCGTCGACTTGTTCGGTGCCTCTGCAGTGACGCTTTCGGGGGCGCCCCGTCCCAGCGAGTCGATAGGTTCAGGACGCTTCGGCGCCCACGTTTCAAAATTTCTGCCTCCGAGGGGTGTGTGTGGGGGGGGAATTGGGCGTTGCGACCCTCTGAGATCGTGATGCCCAGCAGCCCGCGGCGAACGAGGCGGGGCAAACGCACCCCACATCACAAGAACAAACATCGGCATAAACAAAGAAACGGTCGAAGGTCCGCACGGACTTCTTGCATCGGCGCTTGGCCTCCTTGGCGGCGCCTCCAGCGCCGTTCCTGGCGCACTCACGGCGCCAGGGAGGGGGTCCCCGTCAGAATCCAAGGAATCTGCGCGGACCTCCGACAGATCTTTTCAAAGTATGATTTGGCGCAAGGGGCCCTTACCTGGTACTAGGAATTTGTGATTGGAGACCTCTGTCGGCTTTGTTGCTGCTGTTCGTTTCTACTTTGTTGATGAGTTTGCCGCTGATGTGGCCGCTGCTGAAGCCGTCATTGCTGCTCATGGTGCGGCTGGTGCTCATGTCACTGTTGCTTGCCATCTGGTTATCATGTTGTTGTGAACATGATGCGGCTGCTGCTCAAGTCGACATTGCTGGTCATGTGATTGGCAGGTTATTGTGGCTGTTTGTGTGATAGTGTTGCTGATATGTTGTTCTTCGAGTTGCCATGACGTGATCGATGAAATTCTTGCTGATGCTGCTGTTGCTCCGCATATCGTTGTTCATTTCGTCGATGCTTATTCTTGCGAGTATGTAATGTTTGTTGTTTTGCGGTTGCTGTGTTTCTTTCTTATTGACAACATGTTGCCATACGGTTATTAGGAATGATGACCTTACCGTTCACTTGGCTGCTCTGTCTTTGCCACGAGTGTGGTTGTCATCGTGATCATTGTTGTGTTTGCTGTCGTTGTAGTGGGCTGGAGGCCTCTGCTGGCTCTGTGGGCCAGCTGGCGATTCTCGCAGGGATGGCGCCCCTCCTGGTGGGCTTCAGGCGTGGGCCAGGCGCCTTGGCCTAAAGTGGTGCCGCTGGCGCCCGTCCTCGTGGGCCAGAATCTTCTGCCGGCTACGTGGGCCAGCTGTGGGCCAGGCGCTTTGGCCTTCGAAAAGAGGCGACCCTCACAGGGTTACGTAGCGCCCCTCCTGGCGGGCCGGAGGCCTGCGCCAGCTCTGTGGGCCAGCTGTGGGCTGGGCGCTCTGGCCTTCAAAACGTGGCGTCCTTCACGGGGATGGCACCACTCCTGGTGGCCGGAGGTCGCTACCGGCTCTGTGAGCCAGTTGTGTGCCAGGCGCCCTGAGCCTGTTTTTGAATTCCGGGCCGGTCGCGGCTGTCATTTGAGGGGGGGAAGGGCGGGGGAGGGGGACGATGACGTCACGTTTCGCGCTGGCGGCGTCTGGGGATGCTTAGGAATGACCGAGGATGGGTGGCAACAGCATATAGGTGGCGATCTGCACCACAGCGCATGTGTACACCGCAGTGCCTGCGTGCACCACAGCGCTGGTGTACGCGACACCCCCTTATGTACACGACAGCCGCGTGCAACACAGCGCCAGTGTGCACCACAGTGCACGCGTGCACCACAGCGCTTGCGTACACAACGCTCTCGTACACCACAACAGCCGCGTGCAACACAGCACCAGTGTACATCAAGTGCCTGCGTGCACCACACCGCCTGTGTACACCACGGCGCCAGTGTGCACCAAAGCAACCGTTGCAACAGAGCACCACTGCTGTATATATGGCATTTCAGCAGGACCCTTTATGACAAAATGGAGCGCCTGTGGGAAGCGTTTACGTAGAATTTCGCAAGGAATCCTGATCAAAAAAGGAGAGCCGCTGGAATGTACGAGTCCTCCCGTAACATCCTAACTTCGCCTGTGTGCGTCCAGAAGGATCCTGCAGAGTTGACCGTCCGAGAACCAAAACAATTGATTCAATCGACATTTTTTTTCTGTGCGCGCTGAGATGCGCACGTGCGCTGTAGCGCCGACCCGCACGACGGGGGGAAGGGTAGGGGAGGAGGAGGAGGAGGAGGAGGAGGAGGAGGTGGAGAAGGAGGAGAGGGAGGAGGAGGAGGAGGAGGAGGAGGAGGAGGAGGAAGAGGGAGGTGGGAAGAACACCGCATTCCATGACCACCACTTTCTTCGCGTGGTGCTTAGCTGTCCGCAGCAGATCCTCACCTACATGCTTCTTCTACTTGCCTTGTGCACGCAGGCACTATGGTGTACACCAGCGCTGCGTTGCACGCGGATGCTGTGGTGTACGCAGGTGCTGTGATGTGCACAGGCGCTGCGCTGCACGCAAGCATTGTGGTGTACACAGGCGCTGTATTGCACATGGTTGCTGCGTTGTACACATTCGTTGTGGTGTACACAGGCGCCGTGGTGCACGCAAGCACTGTGGTGTACACAGGCGCTGCGTTGCACACGAGTGTTGCGGTGTGCGCAGGCGCTGTGGTGTACACGCGCGCTGTGGTGCACGCGAGTATAGTGGTTTACGCAGGTGCTGTGGTGCAGATCGCCACCCACATGGTGTTACTATTTGGCGTCAGTCATCCCTAGGCATTCCCTGACGCCGCCAGCGGGGAACGTGACGTCATTTTGGAGGGGGGGGCGGCGGGGCCAGTGACGGCCGCTATCCCCGAAAATTCCCAAAAACATGCTCCTTGGCCTTCGAGGAGTGGTGTGCCTCCCGAGGACGACGATCCTCCCAGCGGGCTGGAGGGCTCTGCGGGCTCTGTGGGCCCGTTGCGGGCTGGGCGCTAGCATTCGAAGAGTGGCGACCCTCACCAAATGAATCCCTTCCTGTTGGGCCAGAGGCATCTGCCAGCTCTGTGGGCCAGCTGTGGGCTGGGCGCCATTGCCTTCGCAGGGCGGCGACCATCACGAGGGCCTCGCGCCTCCCAGCGGGCCGAGGGGCTCTGCCGGCTCTATGGGCCAGCTGTGGGCCAGGCGCTTTGGTGTTCGAAGACGGCGACACTCACGAGTATGGCGCCCCTCCTGGCAGGCCGGAGGCCTTCGCTGATTCTGTGGGCCAGCCGTGGGCCGGGCGCTTTGGTTTTCGAAGCGCCAGTGGCGATCCTCACGAGGATGGCGCTCCTCCCAACGGGCTGGAGGGCTCTCTGCCCGCTCCGTGGGTCAGCTGAGGGCCAGGCGCTTCGGTTTGGGAGCAGCGGCGCCCCTCCTGGTGGGCTGGAGGCCTCTGCCGGCTCTGTGGGCCAGCCGGGCGCCTTGGCTTTTGAAAAGTGGCGACGCTAATGGGGATGGCTCTCCTCCCAGCGGGCTGCGGGGCTTTGCCAGCTCTTTGGACCAGTTGTGGGCCAGGCATTTTGACTTCCGAAGTCACAGGGATGGCGCCCTTCCTGGCGGGCCGGAGGCCTTTGCCAGCTCTGTTGGCCAACTGCGGGCCAGGCGCATTGGCCGTCAAAAAATGGCGACCCTCAAAAAATGCCGCTCTTCCGAGCGGGCTGGAGAGCTCTGCTGGCTCTGTGGGCCAGGCGTTTTGGCTTTCGAAAGAATAGTGGCGACTCTCACAGGGGAGGCGCCCCTGCTGGTGGGCTAGAGGCCTCTGCCGGCTCTGTGGGCCAGCTGTGGGCTGGGCGCCTCGGCCTTTGAAGAGCGGTGAGCCTCACGAGGATGGCGTTCCTCCCAGCGGGCTGGAGGGCTCTGCCGGCTCTGTGGGCCAGCTGTGGCCCAGGCGCATTTGCCTTCGAAGCGTGGCGACCTTACAGGGATACCTGGCGCCCACCCTGGCGGGCCGGAGGCCTGCGCCAGCTCTGTGGGCTAGCTGTGGGCCGGGCGCTCTGGCCTTCGAAGAGTAGCGACCCTCACGAGGGCCATCTGTGGGCCAGGCGCCCTCGCTTTCCAGCAATTCGCGTGTGTGGGGTCGACGTTGTTTTCAATGCGATTCTTCTTCCCTTGTTCCAGACAGGGCTGCGGACCATCAATCGCCCATGCATCGTCCAATTCGGAGCCTGCGCCGCCCACTTCCCAAACCTTGTATGCTTGTGCAGCTTTCTGTTCCTCTTCTGCCACAGGCGCCTGCTTGGGAAGTCGCCGCACTCAGAGGACACCGGCGGCGACGCGCCGGCGCCCGCGGGCGCCGGCGCAGGCGCCAGCTCCCGCAGCGTGCGGGAGTTGAAGGCGCTGCTGTCGCAGGCGGGCGTTGACTGCGCCTGCTGCGTGGAGAAGGCCGGCCAGGGGCAAGGACCCCAGACCTCCGCGGGTCATGAATCAATCACGACAAGAGGTTGTATCATTTTTCGCCTCTGGGGGCCTTGACCTGCCCAAGGGGGCGTCAAACAACGGCTCGGAATGAAAAGCCGGTCCAGAGGAACGGGTCGAGACCCTCGGTGATCCATGTTGTGAAGAATCATGACGTCGGGGGTCTGGCCCCCTGCGCGTCGTAGCGTATTGCGGGAGCCTTATGTGTAGTGGTCGGCCCCTGGGGGCCTTGGCTGGGCCCAGAGACCGTCAACAAAATGGCTCGGGATTAAGACCAGTCCCGTGGAAGGGGTCGAGACCTCAGGGGTCGACTACACGTAAGAGTTGCCTTTCGCCGGAGTGACGCCTGATGCGGTCTCACAGGGGTGGTCATTCTTGCGTGCAGTCGATGTGGGTCCATTTTATGAGAACAGCATGATTTCGGGGGTCTGGGACAGGGGAGAGGACAGGCTCAGGGACAACGACAGGGCCAGGTCATTATCCCCCTCCCTGGGCCAGTCGGTCATTGTCGACTCCCCTCGGCGGGGGACGCAGGGTTCCTTCGTGGGAGAAGAAGCATGAAGAAGCATTTGTGTAAGGATGAGCCCTCAGGAGGCGCTTCCGGCGCGGCCCATGGCGCGCTCCGCTCGCCAGGGAGTGGGGCAAAGTGCCGTCCCAAGAAATCCGCACGGGCCTTCGAAATCGTTTTCTTATGCATGCTATTCTTGTTCTACAGAGGGCCGTCGACATCCAAATCGCCCATTCATCGCCAATCGGAGCCTGGGCCACCCCACTCCGCCAAGGAACGTGCGGTTTCGCTATTGAGGGCCCATCGCTGATCTATCGGCAATGCATCGCTGATCCCAGGTCGTTGTCACCCCGTGAGCCACCAGACCCCCCTTGTCGACCCTCTTCAGCTGGTGGGCGCGACCTGTTCCCAGCGGGCCGCTGCCAGGCTTTACCTCTCGAGCAGATCATGCTCACGAGATGGGCGGGCACGCGCAGGTATGGCATCCAGCCTTCTGTGTCTGCAACGCCCTCGTGCTCTCCGCGGGGGCATGCGCCCCGCCTCCAAGCGAGGTCGCCAGCAGAGGCAGACGATGCGCGGGGCATCCGCGCGGCGCACGGCCTGTTGCTTCTTGCGCTCACGGTGAGCTCGGCTGGCGCGCGAGCGCCGCTGTCGCCGGGTTGTGCGTCTCCATTTCGCTGGGTCGATTTGGCTGCCCTGGTTCCACAGGCCGAGGAGGTCGAGAGCCACGACATCTGGGCAAAGTAACGGTGCGTTTGCAGAGTGAGCAGATCAGCTCGAGAGCTCGGCAGACCTCTTGACGTCCAGAGGCGGCCGGCGCTCCCCGCCACCGTGCCTGGGGTGTGGACTGCATGCGCGTCTGGATGCCTCTTGGGGTCTCTTGGGAGGCCTCTTGGGAGCCTCGTTGGAGCATCTTGGGGGTATCATGGGGGCCTCTTGGGGGCTTCTTGGTGTCCTCCTGTCTGTCTCGGAGGCCCTTTCGGAGTGGAGAGCTCGAAAGGTCAGTTCGGGTTCTCCCTCGTGGGCCCCTCTTTTGGGCGTCTTGGGAGCCCTCTTTGTGGGCGTGCAGAGTTCCCTAGGGCTCCTCCTGGGGGCCTCTCGGGCCGTTTCGGACGCTCTGGGGCCCGAGAAGGCGACCATGCTAAAAGCACACACGCAATCCCGAGCCTCTGTTTCATGACTTGGGCCACTTGGGCTGGCTCCTCGAAGACGGCCCACGAGGCAGACGGCCCACGAGGCCCACAGGAGGGCCGCGGGACGGGCCCTGGGACCATCTTTGGCCACGAGGGCACTGCGGAATCCCAGCCACGCTCTTGAGGCCTCTGGATGGGCGTGCGATCCTCCCCGAGAGCGCCCAGGGAGCGCCCCGCACTCCTGGGCCTGGGCCCATAGTTGAGCGCTTTGGCCATATTCCACACGAGGAAGAGGTCGAGGGGTCTTCCGCTCCCTGGACCCCTTCCCCCCCGGGGGCGCGACTTGGCCAGGACGCCGACGCGGATCTGGCCACGGCGGCGAGAGAGCCCCCCCCTTCTCAGGAGCCTCGAGACGGGGGTCAATGCAAACGGGGGTCAGCCAGAGCGCCGGATCTTGCAGGATCCTGCAGGGCCAGGGTCGCATTGACCTGGGCTTGGGTGCAGGATCCTGCAGGATCTTGCAGGATCCTTCGCGTTGACCCGGGCTTGGGTGAACGATACTGTAGGATTTTGCAAGTCTTGATGGACCCGGGTCTGGATTGACCCGGGTCAGAAGATTCCCCCCATTCCCCGGGGAGGACCCTGGGGCCGAAAGCCGGTGAAGGGCGCCAGGTGCCGGCCGGCCTTCCGCTGATCGGGACTGGAGGCCGCCCCCTCCTCCCTGCTCTTGGACGGTTGACCTGGGTACGGCAAAAAGGGGCACGGCCCCAGAGATCCAACGTATTGAGAAAATCAAGACGGACGTTTTTCTTAATTTTCGGCCTTTAGGGGCCCTCGCCGGGCCCCGGGACCGCCAAAAAACGACTCAGGATGAAAAACCGGTCCTGGGGAATGGGTCGAGACTTCTGTGGACCCCGTATTGAAAAAATCACGACGTCGGAGGTCTGGGACGTCCAACAGCGTCGTTGGTTATTCTGGACAGGGTTCGCTGTCGGCGTCGACGCGGACGTCGTCCATTTGAGAGAAACGGTCGCCTGCCCAGCAGCGGCAGCTGTATGTTTTGGACAACATCTGCTGTTGGGCATTGAGCCCATTTTTCCCGTACCCATTTCGGACGTCCAGACTCCGCTGCCTCCTCTTGCTCCTCCCCCTTCACCTCCTCCCGTCACCCACCACTGGCAAACCGTTTTGCTTTGTCGCTCCGCCTGGTCGCTCAGGGACGGCTTGGGGGAGGTAATGCGTCCTCGCTCGAGCTCTGTCTCCTGACCCAGTCCCCCTCCCCTTCCCCCTCTTCCTCCTCCTCCTCCTCCTCCTCCTCCTCCTCCTCCTCCTCCTCCTCCTCCTACTCCTACTCCTACTCCTACTCCTACTCCTCCTCCCCCTCCTCTTCCGCTTCCTCCCCTTCCCAGTCCTCCCCCTCTTCCTTCTCCTCCTCCTCCTCCTCCTCCTCCTTCTCCTGGAAGTTGTACGTGAATGATCTATGCGCGCTCGTAATTAGTTTTTCGGCTCAAAAGCATGAGGCCAGAGGTTGGCGTCGGTCTCCTCATTGTCGGACTTGCGAGGGAAGTCCACTCGCTAGCTTCACTTTCCAATCGACACCAGTGTTCAGATTGTTTCTGTGATTGCCGTCTGTATTCGGAGTGTCTGAAGACGGCCGACTGTGTGTGTCCGCTTCCGCAGGTGCGGCAGCCCGAGTGCGGGAGCCTCCCGATTTCTTCGTCAGGTCGCGCTTCGTTACTTCACGGGCGCGGGCGTCTCCCTTGCCAACACTGGCCTCTTGGGTGTGCTACTCGGAGCAACAGCGGGTGGTGTACTCGCTCGGATGGGCGGTCCTCGCCGAGTTGCTGCTCCTCTTCGTGGAGGTATCGGTCGCGTCGAACAGTGATGGCGGGCATCGTGTTAGCGTCGCCAGGCGGATATGACATCTACTGGTACGAGGGGTGTTCCTACAGGTATGGTCGGATTTTGCTGAGGGGAGATAAGGCTCTGGATGACAAAAGTATCTGGGAGGGGCCTGCGCCTGTTGTCTATGTCTGCGCGACGATGTGGACAGCTACTGGGGATCGCGGGTCGATCAGAGTTGGGGCGAAACCCAGGGACAAGGTCTCGGTGCCGAGGGCCAAGGAGTCGCAGGTCACCGAGTTCGCTGGGCTCAAGGAGACGTCGCTCGTGAGGGTGCAGAGCGACCAGTTCGCGAAGCTCGATGGCCGCGACTCCACCAACTTAGGCTCGGTCGTCGTGGCGCTCGAGTGTTTCAAGGTGAGCGCTTTCGGCGGCTACTTCGCGGGACGCAAGTTCCCGCTCGTGGCGGTCCTAGGAGTTACTCACTCGCTCGACGATCGTGGCGGAGGCCCTGGGTCGGCCTTGGGGCGCTACGCGCTGCTGGGGGGCTTTGCGTGTCCGCGGCTCCCTGGAGCAGGCGAGGAGCCTGACATGACGGGGGAAGAGGTCGTGAGCACGCTTGCGGAGAAGTTCAAAGATTTCACCCGCAGAGTGCGCGTCTGGTTGGTCTCGGTCAAGGAGATGGTTGAGGACGCCTTCTTGGTCTGTGCCGTGGATGGTGTACGGGCTCTCCTGTGGTTTATGACACCGTTGATTCAACTGGGGATTGTGCCCACGTTCTGGTGCGCGCGCCATCTCCTGACGGCGTGTTGGAGTGAGAACGATCGCTCCTCTCAAGACGTGCGGGAGATGGAAGGGGTTTTCGAGCTGGCTGCTTCGTACGATTTGTACAACGCCTTTTCGCTTGCGGTCTCCTTGAAGTCGGGGCGGAGATGGCAGTTTGAACCAGAGGCTCATGGTAAGAACCAGATGATCCCGATCCACGAGATGGCCGACATGTTCTCGTGCTACAATCGCCGAAGTCAGTTTGCGGTGCCCGAGCCCTACACCTACGCGGCCAAGGAGGTACAAGAGTGGGAGGAGGTCGGCAGGCAGACCAGCAAGGCCGAGGCTTCGAAGGACGAGGCTGAGGTCGCCCTCGAGCGTGGTACTACCGCAGGGGCAAGGACAATGAGGAGGCCAAGGATGAGTGACGCCTCCACCCTTGCCAGCAAAATCGGAGATAGTGTTTGCCGCAGTCGCCGCGCGGTAGGCGCGCTGACAGGCGAGAGCGACGCGCAGGGAGCACGACGAGTGCCGCTGTTTCCGCTCGAGTTTTGTAACCACTCGGCCCCTCCGCCGGCGCGCCTCTCGAGGAGATGCAGGCGGAGGGCCAACCTCAGGAGCCATCAATCGCGTGAGTTCGGAGAGGTCCTGACGGGCCTCAACTGGCTGTATTCCCGAGCTTCGAGCCCACTCGTTCGCCAAGAAGTGGTGAGTGAGATGCGCGATTTTGTTGCGGGTCGGGTTGCCGAACAGCCGCCTGTGCCGCCTTTTTTGAGCAAGGAGGGAGCCGTGCGCGAGCTCCTCCAGAGCAAGTGTGGTTATGACCACGCAGCCTCCACTGTCGTCGAGTTCGATCGAACCCTCGTCTCACTGCCCGAGGGGGTCCAGGACAGAAAGCTGCTTCAGGACTGGGTCTCCCAGGAGGACAGGGAGGCGGTGGTGAATTTCAAGGAGAGCATGATGAGAGATGTGAAGGAAGTGATGCAGATGAGAGACTACGGCGAGTGTATGAAACCATATTTTGATCAGAAGCTTCGCACTCGACGGCACGAGTACGTTCGCTTTTTAAAGATGTTGCACAGGCGTGGTCTGATCGGGTGGTCGACTACGCCCAAAGAGATTGCCACCCCGTTTTTCGTTCGGAAAAAGGATGGGAGGCAGCGGCTTATCATCGATGCGAGGCGCGCAAATCAGCTCTTCCGAGATCCTCCTAGTACTTTGTTGGCCACGCCCGAGGGTTTCGCCCGCTTGGAGGTGGAGGGAGGTGTTGAACTGTATGAGGCCTCTCTCGACGTGGACAATTGTTTCCACAGAATAGGTATAGACAGCGACTTGGGCGATTACTTGTGCCTTCCCCCCGTTCGAGCACGTGAGCTAGGGCTTGCGCATGTTCGGGGACGGGAGATTCCTGGAGACGGTCTTGTGTGGGCCGCCATGGCCGTGCTCCCCATGGGATTTTCTTGGCCAGTCTTCTGGGCCCAGCGCATCAATGCCCGCTTGGTAAGGGAGGCGTCTGGGATGGAAAGCTCCGCGGCGGTGGAGGACAGGGGGGGCGGCCTCGTCATAGGTAAGGGCTCCGCGCCCGTCTTTTACGCGCATGTGGACAACGTGGGGGTTTTGGGAGCTGACAAGAAAGAGGCCCAGAAATCTTTGGAAAACATCAGAAACGTTCTTAACGCCAACAAGATGCAGCGCCAAGAAGTTCAGGAGGCTGGGCAGGTTAGGGATGCTCTTGGGATCGAGTTCAATGGGAAGCTAAAGTGTTTCAGGCCTTCGGGAAAGCGATGCTGGAATATTCGTTTGACTCTGGAGGCGTTTTTGGAGGCGCCCTAGGTAACTGGAAAAGCCCTTGAGGTTCTTCTGGGACATTGTACCTACCTCGCTATGCTACAGCGTCCTTTACTCTCCTGCTTCGCCTCGGTCTACAAGTTCGCTCGGAGGTACTGGCGCTCTTGGGCTCCATTGTGGGCGACGGCGCGTGAAGAGCTCGAGGCGTTCCTCTACCTCATGCCCCTTATCCGCTCGGACTGGTCCCGGGGTTGGCTTGGGAATGTGTTAACGTATGATTCCTGTCCCGAGGGAGCGGGGGCTTGTGTTGCTACCAGGTCCTCTGCCTGGGCGGCCGCTCAGGGAAGAGCCCAAGAGAGAGCTAGATTTGTTCGTCGTGACGCTGCGCAGGCTCGTGGGCACGCTCTTTCTTGCCTCGACCCTGATGACCCGCGTGTGTTTGTGACGCCACCGCCGTCTCTCGAGGACGTCTCGGAGCTCTGGGGGCAAGACCTTTCGTTTCCCGAGGTACCGCTCGAGGGGCTTGTAGGGAAAGACTGGACGGTGCTTTTCTGTCATTCCTGGAAAAGAAAGATGACAGTACGTGAAGGAGAAGCCAGAGCTGGAGTCCTTGGGGTCGCTAACGTCGCTCTGGAACCTGGAGTTCATAGTTGTCGCCTTCTGGCTCTTGGGGACAACCTCGGAGTCACGCTCAGCTTTGCGAGATCCAGGGCCCGTGCTTTTCCTCTCCTGGTCCAGTTTCGGCGAGCGTCGGCGCTGCCGTTGTCCCGTAACCGTTTCGTGGGATTCAGGTGGGTCCCGAGTGAGTTCAACAGCTCCGACAAGCCTTCGGGGGACCCTGGTCTGCGGCGTGGGGATGCAGTCGAGTTGATCGTCACACCTGATATATGTCGTCTCGCTCGAGGCCAACAGGGCTCCGTAGCCGTTTCGGCCAGAAATGAAGTTCCACAATGCTCTACTTCGGTATTGGATTGGGCTCGTCATGTGCTTGGTGAGGAAGGCGAGGAGAGCAGCGACGACGGACGAGAGGGAAGTTCGGTCGCCTCTTCATCGGACGGACCGTGGAGAGAGGTGGCGAGCTACTCTACATCGGGGTCGCGTCCGCCTCGCCCCGCCAGTACTTTTGGACGGGGCGGAGGGGAAGTCCAGCCGCCTGGGCGATTCGGGCGGCACGACTTCGGAGGAGGATGGCAACCCGTCCGTGCAGGAACGCATGCTGGAGTGCGAGCCCCTCCATGCGAAGATGGCAAAGGAGCCAGGTATGCGACGCGTTTTGGTGCCAGGACGAAGCTCGGCAGGAGATCGAACCTGGACGCGGCATCGAGAGTCATATCTAAGTCTGGTCGCATACGTCGACGAGTGCAGGCTGGACGCCGACAAAGTGCAGGACTCCAATGTGGACGCCGTCGACTTCATGACCCACAGGTATATGCTGGGCTGCGAGGCGGGCATCGACCAGAGGTGGATCGAGGCCTTTTTGCTCTTCCTCCCTCGTTTCGGCGCCCCTACCCCGCCGACTATGAGGGCCGACGTTATGTGGCGCGGGCATGCACACAGGTCAGACCTCCACCAGGGCTCGAAGGTTGGGAACCAAAGCAGTTTCATCTTGTGGAGAACTCAGGGTTTTGACTGTATGGCCGATTTTCTTCACTTTCTAGCCGTCGTGACAGATGACACCTTGTGGCAGTTTACTCAGCGATCAAGTGTGGGATTTTGTATACAAGGCCGAACGTTCGGCCAAGACATTGAGAAGTACCAAATACGCCATGCGGGTGACATATATCGAAAGCATCGCAACCGTTACTCTGTGCAACGTCGTGGAGGTTGGATGTTTACCAAAAAAGGTGCAGCGCGGCGAGAAGCCATGCATGCTGATGATGAAAGACTACGCTCGGCTTCCTTTGCCGCTGCACTGCTGGTTGAGGAGCAGTTGTGCACGCTGAAAAAATGACTTTCTGAGGCCGCGCAGTGCTGCCGCCGCCGCTGCTCTTTTGCAGTGCCCGTGCAAAGCGTGTGCTACGCCCCTCAACACAGCTGAATAGGTGACACATCATGTTATGGGTGATATGGGTGAGTTTTGAGCCGCCGTGCATCTGCTTACCCACGCTCGTGTGCAGTCAGACTCCAGACGGCTCTGGCATCAGACACTAGGAAACTGAAAAGCAGAGCGTTGGGGGGATCATGGAAGTTGTACGTGAATGATCTATGCGCGCTCGTAATTAGTTTTTCGGCTCCCCGTGGCCTGACCCAAGCCATTTTTCATTCCTTCGTATCGGGTGAGTTCTGAGCCGCCGTGCATCTGCTTACCCACGCTCGTATGCAGTCAGACTCCAGACGGCTCTGGCATCAGACACTAGGAAACTGAAAAGCTGAGCGCGGGGGGGATCATTTTCCTTCTCCTCGTCCTCCTCCTCCTCCTCTTCCTCTTCCTCCTCCTCCTCCTCCTCCTCCTCCTTTTCCTCCTCCTCCTCCTCCTCCTCCTCCTCCTCCTCCTCCCCAGCCCGTCCTCCCTCCTCCCCTCGCCTCCCACAGCATGCCCTGCCCTCGCGCGGGGCCAGGCAGACCTGCAGTCGCTCTGGGACCGCTTCGAGCTCTTTCGCGCCCGCCCCCTCGCGGAGCTCCGGGCCTCGTGCGCCGCGGCGGGCGGGCCGCGGCGGGGCTCCGTGGAGGAGTGCGCGAGGTTCCTGCTGGCGCCGGCGGCGGGGCGGCCGCCAGAGGCCGCGAGGAAGAGGAGGAGGAGGGAGGAGGAGGAGGAGGAGGAGGAGGAGGAGGAGGAGGAGGAGGAGGAGGAGGAGGAGGAGGGGGGGAGGGGGAGGGGAGGGGGAGGGGGAGGGGGAGGGAGGAGGAGGAGGGAGGAGGAGGAGGAGGAGGAGGAGGAGGAGGAGGAGGAGGAGAGGAGGAGGAGGAGGAGGAGGAGGAGGAGGAGGAGGAGGAGGAGGGAAGAGGAGGAGGAGGGGCAGGAGGAGGAGGAGGAGGAGGAGGAGGAGGAGGAAAAGGACGAGGAGGAGGAGGAGGAGGAGGAGGAGGAGGATTTGTTTGACATGAGCTACATGGTGACGAAAAATGCGGACGCGTGGCACCACCACCAGGCGAGCTCCCACTGGTGGGGAGGATCCCCAGTGTTGGGCCTCACGTCCACCTACCTCCACGGCATAGGCTCTATCGACACGCCCTTGCGTGTCGGATGGATTCTTTTGCAAATCTGATGAAATGACCAGGTCTGCTTAGCCGTGGGGTTGCTACAATCTTTAGCCAACCCTATTACATAGCTAATTGTAGCATACGAATGGCACTTCAGACAAGCTGTAATGAAGGAGCCATCCGGAACCAAAAAAGAAACCGCTTGATGTCCCAGAGCCCTCAAGGAAGGCCCGTCGAGCTTGGAAACATCGGGGCAGACCCCTCGAGGCGGAACCTGGGTGCCTTTCTGCGAGAGCAAGCATTGTTGGCACCTCCAGAACCCAGGACGTTCCCCTATGAGCTCCCAAGCCCACGCATGACCCGGCCCTTTCGGGGCTGGCACTTTGGGGGAAGGGGCCCATGGGCAAACAGACAAATCAATTCTCGGCCACAGAGGCAGAATCTTAGCAGCGAGCGCACAGACAGACTGCGAGACACGGGCACGAAAATCCAATTGCTGCGCTTCTGCCTCCGAAGGCCGCGGATGCAACGATGCACCGAATTTAGCAGCCTTGTCGGCCTCGTCATTGCCCGTTCTCAGCCAGCGTTCTCGCTCTGAAATGCCCGCCTCCAGCGTGTCTTCGTGGGCCTTGTTCCTCGAGACTCCCACCACCCACCTCCCGCCCAGCCGATACAAAATCATAAGACCAGCGAAAGGCTTCTTGTAGCTGAGCTGCACTTCGCTGGCCTTGCTGCAGAGGGAGGCAATATTCTCACAATCCGAGTAGATGGTGGAGGGGGCTTCAACCTCGAGCCCCGCACGCGCAATGCCTGCAAACTCAGCACACTGCGACGTCTGGATAAATGGGGCGTGCACGGGCCCTGCCAGCACCCCGAGTCTGCGCCCCTCGTCAGAGATCAAAGCCAACCCGTAACCCGCTCTGGAGAGCTCTCTGATCACATGCCTGTGGCAACTTCCGTCTACAAACATATTGCCTGATAAACCGCCACCTTCAGGGGGGGGCTCGTCCCAAATCATCCTGGCCTGGAAAGCACTGTCCTCATGGGAGGGCCTAGGGAAAGAGTCCCCAGGATAAGGAAACACACCACGAAGAAACAGCGCCTCCTGGACAGGGTCGGACATATCCGCGTCAGCGGCAGCATTTAAAGTGTCAGGCTTCACCAAGTCTTCGCGGAAAGAGGCGGCACTCGGACAGGCCCACAGACGGTGCTGGACAGAGCCCCCAGGCTGCCCGCAGAGCGCACAGTCATTGGAGACCTTGTAGCCTGCCTTCTCGGCTCTGTCGTGCGTCCAGAGAGCCTCACAGACCAGACTGCGGATGGACCCTTTCTCTTTGTCGGTGTACTTCGATGACCTCAAGCGGTTGCGAACCACGTCGTAACACAGCCTCGGCTCAGGGATGCCAGCTTTGCGGGCTGCGTGGCGTTCGAGGCCCCTAAGCGAGGCAGCGTGCAACATCTTCTTAATAATCGCAGGCGGAACGACCGTGAGCTGCAGCGCTTCCCCGAAGTCGTTGACGCAAGTGAAGGGACCACTCATACTCCAGTTGGTCCTCTTCCGGGAAAGCCGCGGCGCGGAGATCGCACCTGAGACCTCACGCCAAAACGGCTCTGGGCGCTCAAACACCACCTCCCAGCCCTCACGAAGCTGGGCCCAACTTGACGCATATGGGTAAGAGCGAGTCTGTGCTGCCCAAACCTCCTTGGCGTAACGCAGGACGGGGGCCGTAGCGCCGAGCCGAACAAGATCGTTATGCACTATCATCGTAGCCGTGAACGAACGTCCCCCAGCCCCAGGGCGCAACACCTTACCAGCTTCCCGTCTGACCTTCAGAAGTTCGAAATCGGACAGCAAGTTCATTTCCGAACCGTGCAGGGCTCCAGGGAGGGCCCCAGATATCCAGATGCGCTGGGTAAATTTCCCAAGACTGCACCGCATACGCGTAAGCTTCTTGGTACATGTCATCAGGTAGTCGATCCTGACCCTGAACTTGGCCCCTCGCCTAGCAGCCCGACGGGGTCTACCTCCAGCGTCGCCAACCCCCAGATTCGCCGCGCTGCCGGTAACAGGGCCCGCCAGGGGACCGAGATACTTACGCATGGCAATAACAACCTCCTTACTGGAGCTCACAAGAGCCGCCTTTTCACGGGAGTTCTTGCAGCCGCAGTCGTTCTCGATGGCGGAAAAAAGCTGGGCGCTGGCATCCTTCAGGCCCTCGACGACCTGAGACACAGTACCAACAGCCGAAACTCCACTATCATCGATCTACTGATCGAGGTGAACGCCTTCGGGGAGCCTCAGTTGGGTGAAAGCTTCCAGGGTATAAACCTTCACGAAAGATGTGGCGAAGCTGCACCCTGCGACCACCCTGTTCAGGGCATAGAACGGCCCCGTGACGAAGCCCGCTAAGCACACAAAACGAACTGACCGATACGCAGATATGGCCAGCCAGCCTGAAAACAGGGGCCGGAAATCCAAACACCTCGCAGTGCTGCTCTAGGCGGACTCAGGCTGATTGCTTCGTGGAACTTTGAGATGTCCCACAGCAGAGTCGCCGAGACTTGACCTTGGACAATGCCAGCCTCCCCCCCTAAAGCTCTGTCTCCAAACCACATCGCTTGCTGAAGCAAAAGCCTGGCCAGCATAGAAACTCCGCCGGTGGTTGAGCCCCCGCTCCAACGCGAAACATCGGCGGCGCCTGCCCCACAGATGGTAGGCCGAGCAGAATAGGCCGATCGGCCTCCAGCCTCCCGAAGCCTTCATCAGCAGCGCGAGCTGCGCCACTTGGAGTTGGGCTGGAAGGTTCGATATCATTTCCATGGCACAGACGATGAGACAAACCGCCTGCAGGCAGTCGTCGCTCATCCAGCTGCAATGCTTCATATGAAGACCATCCAGCCTACAAGCGGTCCTGAGGGAACACTTCCTGGAGACACCTCGAACAACATCCGCAGACATGAGGGGCAGGGGCTCCAGGAGTTTGGCACGGCACTGAGGCCGAGGCTGGCTAGACGCCTGCCGCAGACCAGAAAAGAATCCAGCCTGGCCGCGGACCAAGGGCAGGGGGTCCGAGACCACAGCCCCCGAGGAACTCAACGTGGTGGACGGCTTCCAGCCTGCCGCAGGCCGACGGGCCAGGTGAGCGTTTCCCCCCCAGTGTTCAACGTTGTGTCTCAACCAGCGTTTCCAACCCTTGGACCCTTCGGTCCTGGCGCGCTGCTGAGCTGCAACCACCGCGGCGTCCAGCCACACTGAAAGATCAGCAAGATGAACAGGCTGGTCCTGCGCGGGGCTACCTGCAGCGGCTGGGGCAACATATTGTTCCCACACTAATTTTCGAGACTGCATCGGACAAGCGAGGGAACGAGGAGACCCTTGATCGTCGAAACCTTTCCCTGAACCGTAAGACTCGGCCCCTTTGAAATCGGCAAAGGGGCCCGCAAACTCAGCATCGAGCGACGCCAGCGCCGGCGCTCGAACCTCTTGCTGCGGCTGCGGGCCAGGGACGTCGCGGGCCCCCGACCCAGAGCAGCCGACATCAATCAACCTAAAAAACTCACGCTCGAAAAACTGCTTGGACCCCCCACGCAGGCCTGCCGAACAAACTCTTGGCAATGGCTCACCAGCTCTTGGCAGTGCGCGAGCCCGAGTCCGACATCACTGGGAGGCTCCAGCACAAGGGGGCATTTGATCCCAAGCTCCTTCGAAGCAGGAGGAGCAACAGCCCACTTCCTGACAGGGATGTGGAACCACTTGATGGCGAACAGTTCAGGGTGACGGCCTTTTGCAAGCGTCCGCCTTGAAAACAGGGACCCACTGCAGTCTAGGCATTTTCCCCCTCGCCCCGAAGTGCGCGGGGGGTAGCATGCGCATCATCAGCGACCTCAGCCTCCGCCAGACGAGCCCATCGGCCATAAAGACGGGTGAGCCTAGCAGGGGCGTCCGCAACATCTTCCCCAGGCACCAGAGAGCCCACCAAACCCCTGGCCATGTTGGGGGCCCCAGTCCAACACGGGGGGCGGCGGCAAGGGCCGACAGGCCTCGCAGGCGAGATCGGTGGGGGCTTAGCAAAAACCAGGGCGTGCAGGGAACAAACTTTGGGGAAAAAGGGTTAGGTGCACGATCTTATACGTGCCAGACGTAACCACGATAAAGTCCAGGATTTGGGGACCCCCAGTAGTCATACAGGTCCCCGCGCACTCAGGGTAAACCGCGTCCCCCACGAGCTTCTCTGGAAAACCACTCCCTATGATATCGTCTGGCGCCATATTAAAATCTCCCGCGACCACTGCCTCGTTGGAGTGCAGCGTGGCCGCCGCACCTACAGCACTGAGGAAATTGACGTTCCGATCCGTCAACCCTTCGGAATGATGGAGGTAGACCGAGCCGAGGAAGAAGGGGTGAGCCGCGCTCCCAGGCAAGTGCACCAACCCGCCGATAGCTCTATGCGGGCGCAGGATGGCGCCCTGTGGAAGATCGTGGAATCCGAGGAAAGATCTGGCCATAAGAGCAACGCCGCCAGAACTTCCATCACCTGTCCCAGGACAAGCTGGCGCGAACAGGCCGTTCCAGCCCTGTCTCAAACACCAGTCGGCGGCCTCCTTGCATCCCTCCTCCGTGGCTAAGTGGTGTTCCTGCACAGCAATCTCATGGGCCTTGGTGTGGGCGAGCTATTCTTTACAAGATCCCCTATGAGGTGGCGTTACAGGACTCGATGATCAGCGATATCTCTCCTGGCTCGGGTTCGGGGGGCGACCTGAAGGGAACAAAACCAGGGGCGACCGAACACGGAACAGGGCCAAAATTGGGCCCCGCAGAAACACCTTGAGACCAGGAAGAACCACGATTAGTGGGGGTAGCTGCGGAGCCTCCCGAGAGGCAGGCGTCAGCGCAAATTACAAATACTGGATAGGCGGTCCCTGCTGGCTCGCCTGCGGGAGGGGTTGCTTGTAAAATCCTGTCGCAACGGAGCCTGGCACTGGCAGTGGACTCAGACGACTCAGCAGAAGAGCTCGAAGCAGCTGGCGACGATGAAGCGACTGACGCGGCTGCGCCACCGCCGCCGTCGGCCGCCGGCCCCGCTGCTCCTGCGCCCTCAGCTCCTGCGCCGTCCCCTCCTGCGAAGGCCTCCTCGACCCTGGCACGCTTGGGGCGCAAGCGCTTGAGCTGCTCTTGGCGCTCGAGCTTGAAGGCGTCTGCTTTCTTCCGCACTTCGCCGAATGATGCGATGAGGGCCTCCTTGAGCGCGGTCTGCAGATGCTGCGCGCAACAATCTGCCGTACTCGCCGTCCTTCCCAAGCAGGCTGGTGATGCTGATCGGGATCTCCGAAACCTTCCCAGTGAGGATGTCGGAAGCGTCCAAAGTAGCCATTGAATGCTTAGAATCGTCAGCTGGGCCGTCCACGGAAGCGTGAAGCTGGCGCACGAGGTCCGCATGCGCGCCGACTCCGCCTTGGCCAGCTCGTCGTTCGCCTCCTGGACCCGCTGGCGCTGCAGCCCTAGCTCCCTCTGCAGGTTCTCGTACGCGGTGCATGCCTTGTTCGCCTTGGCCTGCCAGCCACGCAGCTCGTGGTAGGCTTTGTTGACGCGCTGCTGCAGAGGGGCCTCCGCTGGAGCGAGCTCTTTCCTCTTCGCCTCGAGCCGCCGCGCATGCCGCTGAGCACCCTCCATGTCGCCGAACTTTGTGAGGGTCTCGACCAAGCTGGCAAGCTGGCGCACCTCAGCAGCTCCGCCTTCGGCCCCGCCTCCTCCACTGGGCGGCTGCTCGAACTGCGGACCACTGCGGAGGGGCAGGCTGCTGCCAGGCCTGGGCCACTGAACGGCTGCGGGCTTGTCGTGGGGGGTGGGGTCCTGCCGAACCGACCTGCAGTGCTTGCAGTGCCACCACCCTGCCTTGTTCTTGCGGCATCCGCACTGGCCACACGTCCACCTCCCTGACGGCGGGGGGGGTGAACTGCTGCGCGACGTGCAGCTGCTGCGCGACTCTGTGGAACCATCGTGGGATAATGATTCCTTGCTTTCACCTCGGAACCGAGGCGCTCAAACCTGCACACGGATGGTAACAGCACAAGGAAAGATTGGCCTGACGGGCACAACACCCGCTCTGAGCCAGAATGGGCTTGAGAGGAGGAGGAGGAGGAGGAGGAGGAGGAGGAGGAGGGGGAGGAGGAGAAGGAGGAGGAGGAGGAGGGCCGCGCGGGGCAGCCCGGCTGCACGCCGGAGTGGCCCTCCGCCGGAGTGGGGCCGCTGGTGCGGCCTCGCCGACGACGGCAGGTTTCCCAGACCCCCTCGCGTCGTGTAAAAATCACGACGGGAGGCCTTTTCGCTATTTTCGGCCTCCGTGGGCCGGTGCCGGGCCCCGGGGCTGTCAAGAAACGGCTTATAGGATGAGAAACCTGTCTTGGGGAAGAGGTCGACACCTCTGGGGGTCGACGTCGTAAGAGAATCAGCACGTCAGAGGTCTGGGTTCGGAGGCGACGGCAGGGGCGAATAGCCCAGGGGCGGGCGTTACAAGTCTTCGCATGGGAGCCTCGCCGAAGGCATGGACCATCGGCGCGGCTGGATGCAGGTATTGCTCTCCCTTGGGCTATTCGCCCCCATCGTCGCCCCCGAAGGCTCCAGGTTTTCGGGCGTTGTCGTCGGTTCTCGTCGGCCGTGCAGCCTCGGGATGCCTTCAGCGGCTGCGCCTCTCGCAGAGAGCGTTCCGGGGGCGCTCGGCTCGTGCCGAGCGGCCGCCGGGGACCGGAGCCAGGGCCCGGCGCGCGCTTGGGAATGTAGTCCGGGGTGAAGCACCGGTCCCTGGGGGAAGGGTCCTGGACCAAGGGCTCCCACGAGGGCGCGAAGTTATTCGCGCTTCGCGGTTCTCGTTCCTTCTCCGCCTCCTCCTCGTCCTCCTTTTCTCCCTTTGGGGGGGCGGCGCGAGAGCGCGAAGTTTGGGAGCCCTAGTGGACTTCCATGACCCCGTGGAGGTTGACGAAGGGTCGGAGGTTGACAAAACACCCACCCTGCCAGGTCGATCAGCGAATTGCCTCGTCTTTTGTTCCCGAGGAGGTGTTGCGGCCGCAGTGGTTGCGGGCCCGTGGCGGCAGCAGGTCTGGTCCTGGGTAGCTCTTGAGCTCAAGGGTAAGTCGAGCCTGTCCCTCTACAGAGGAAATATTCAAAAATAGTAAAAAAATAGTCCAGGGACTATTTTTTGATAATTTTGGGGCATCTTTTGGGTATTTTCGCCATCTTTTCCTTTTTTCGTCAAAAAGCCCCCTGTAGGGGGACACGCCCGACTTCAGCTCAAGGGCGTTTGCTGAAGGGGTTCTGTCCTCTTCCGACGGGGGGGAACAGGCTCAGGGAGGAGCGCATCGATCCCCAAGCGCTCGCTCATCACAGGTAGGAGCCTCGAAGCCGACCCCTTTCCGCACTGTCCGGGGTACAGTACTGTCGCCGCTCTTTCGGCGTCACATCTTTTCATCTCGTCGGCCTTTTTAGAGGCCTCGACCCCTCCCCCAGGACCGGCTTCTCACCCCGAGTCGTTTGCTGACGCTCCCGAGGGCTCTTGTAAGGGCCCCCAGGGGCCGACAGTCGTGAGAATCCTCCCGTCATGACCCCAGGGGTCTGGGCCTCAGTGGGCCCTGTAAACGTCAGGGCCGTTTTTTTACCGGTTCCGTTTTGCAGTTTTCTTGCCGGTTCCGACGCCGTTTTCTGACCGGTTCGATCGCCGTTGTTTGACACCAGTTCCGGCTCCAGTTCCAATCCTGGAGCCGTTTTGGTTGCCGTTTCCGGTCGCCGTTTTTTTGCCGTCTCCATTTTCAAGGGATATTTTTTCGGAAACGGTGAGAAAACGGCCCTGCCGTTTCCAGGGCCCACTAAGGTCTGGTCCTGGGAGAATGGAACCTAGATTTGGACGCCCGAAATGGGTACGGAAAGAATGGGTACAACGCCCAACAACAAATGTTGTCCCAAACCAACAGCGGCCGCTGTTGGGCAGGCGGCCTCCTGTCTCAAATGGACACCGGCCGCGGCGACACCGACAGCGAGTCCTGCTCGGAATGAACAGGAACTGCTGTTGGGCATTGTGCCCATTCTTTCCGTACCCGTTTCGTCAAAGGCCAGCAACATGTGTACACGTACGCGGTTAGCTTCCCCTGGAGGGCGTTTGAACGAGGACGTTCGTGCATTCAAGATCGCGGAGGGCGTACATGTACATATGTCGTTGCTCGCTCATTTCGGGCGTCCAACCCAGATGACGAATTGCCGGCAACTCACGGCTCGGCTCGCTGGGGCCGCGCTGGGCCTCCTCGAGCCGCCCCCCCTCGAGGCGGCCGCGCCGCCGCAGGGGGCCGGGGGCGGCGTGGGAGCCCCGGCGCCCGCCGCCGCCGAGCGCGAGTGCAGCGCGTTAAAGGACGGCCCGCAGAGACAGCCCAGATGGTCTGGTACCGGAAATTTTCGGTAGCGATTTCGACGCACCCCGAATTTCGGTAGCGACCGGATCTTCGTTTGAGGGCGTTGAAATAGCGGATTTCAGAACGCTCTGATACCGGTATTGGGCGCTACATTTCGGTATTTCGGTAGCGACCGATCTCTGCGGAGCGCTACCGGAAATTTTCGGTAGCGGACCATCAGGGAGAGGTAAGTCGGGCCTGTCCCTCTACAGGGGGGATGTTCAAGGACAGTCAAAAGATAGCCTGGGGACGTTTTTGTTGAGTACCTTTTGATCCTGTTGGAATATGTGTTCTGCGTATGTTTTGCTTTCGTCGAACATCCCCCTGTAGGAGGACACGCCCGACGTAAAACGTAAAAGTCAGAGGCCTCGTTGTCGCCTTTTTTCGGCCACGTGCAGAGGGGGGCAGGGGGAGGGGGGAGGGCTTCTGAGAAGCACCCCTGCTTCTCGGAAGGCGCGGGCCTGATCTATAGATGTGAGGCCGGCGCCTTCTTGAGAAGCGGCCTCCTTCTAAGAAGCCCTCCCCCCTCCCTCCACCCCCTGGTGCGCACCGCCAGGAGTCAGAGGCCTCCTTATCGCCTTTTTGGGACCTCCTGGCAGGTCCTCGTCGCCCCCGCTGGGTTCGCCTCGAAATCCCTGTCGGAACGCACCCAAGGAAAGGTTCCATCAAGGGAGGAAAAACCAACCCGACCCCGATAACCCCATGCCCACGATAATAATGTACCCCCCCCTTAAGTAGTTAGAGTTTTTTATCGTCGACCAATAAGAGTTTGGTCGGGGGCTCGGGGGCGCGGAGGCCGAACTTCATTATCACGGGAAAAGTTCGCCATCGAGGTTACTTCCTTCTTATGTTGAGATACCAACATCAAGCGAAGCGAACACGTCGTTTCAGGATGTCTCAAGCGAAACCGATGTCCTTCTGTCTCTTTGTAGTTATTTCTGTCTCTCTTTCTTTCTTTCTCTGTCTTCTTCTCTCTCTCTCTGTCTCTCTATCTCTTTCTCCTCCTCCTCCTCCCTCTGGTGCCCTGAACTTGTTTATCGCTGGGGTTGATTATCCTGGGAAAACGAGGCGCGTGAGCTACCCTACACGAGCAGATGAAGATTTTAATGTGCATCAAGCGTTTACAACTTAAATCTAATAAGTTTTAAACTTTGGATTTTAGCTATCTCCTTCTCCTCTCCTCCTCTTGCTCTTTCTCCTCCCCCTCCTCCCTCAAGGATGTCTCAAGCGAAACCGATGTCCTTCTGTCTCTTTGTAGTTCTTTCTGTCTCTCTTTCTTTCTTTCTTTCTCTGTCTCTCTCTCTCTCTCTCTGTCTCTCTATCTTTTTCTCCTCCTCCTCCCCCTGGCGCCCTGAACTTGTTTATCGCTGGGGTTGATTATCCTGGGAAATCGAGGCACGTGAGCTACCCTACACGAGCAGATGAAGATTTTAATGTGCATCAAGCGTTTACAACTTAAATCTAATAAGTTTTAAACTTTGGATGTTTGCTATCTCCTTCTCCTCTCCTCCTCTTGCTCTTTCTCCTCCTCCTCCTCCTCCCTCAAGGATATCTCGAGCGAAATAAGCAATACTTTGAAGATGTCTCAAGCGAAACAGACAAACATTTCGAGGATGTCTCAAGCGAAACAAGCAATTCGTTGAGGATGTCTCAACCGAGACAATCCTCAAGATATCTTGGGCTTTTTCCTCTTGGTATCTCTTTTATGCTGGCTCTGGCGGGCAACTTTTATTATCTCCCCGAAAACCCCGAACTTTACTATCCCTGGGGGTTTATTCTCCGAGGTTCATGGTTAGTTGGAGTTTGCGAAACGGCCCTGGGGGGGTAGAAAGCATCACTGCCCTGTTCGATATCCTTCTTTGGGTGCGTTTGCTAAACGCCTTCGCTTGTCGGGGTGCTTATTCTGAGTGCATCTGTTCCTTTTCTTTTTTTTCTAGGCCTCCCAAATGGGGTCCGAGCAGATCGCCGATGCGTCGGCCGTGCGGCTCGATGTGGAGCCCGCTCTTCTCCACGCCGACGGCGCCGACACATCGGCGATACATCTGCGATGCGGCTCGATCCTCCGACCCCATCTGCTCGGACCCCATGCAGGAGGCCCCTCCCAGGGTTTCGGGGGCCCGCGAGCGGCGTGGAGTCGGGTGGGGCCGGCAGGGACTCGGGAGGACCCCACGGCTCTGGAACGATAGGGCCGCTCTCCCAGACCCCCGACGTCGGGATTTTTGGTCATTACGCCGACCCCCAGAGGTCTCGACCCATTCCCCGGGACCGGTTTTTCGTCCTGAATCGTTTCTTGACGGCCCCGAGGGCCGGTAAGGGGCCCCAGGGGCCGAAGATAGCAAAAAACCTCCCGTCGTGATTTTCTTCATGGCCCGAGGGGGTCTGGGCTCCGAGGATGCTTCTCGGGTGACTGGGGCCACCAGGGTCCCCGAACGGTGCTGGGCGTGCGGTGAGGCATTCTGGGATTCCGAGGTCGCCGCACAGGGATCAGCAGCAGAGAGGGCGACCAGGCAGCACAGAGGTCCTGCAGGGAGGGGGGCTCAGATCTCCGACGGTATCGCTTTCGGCCCAAATCGACATGTAACACGACGACCAGTCACTGTGCTTTTTTCCCGGTTTCGCGGCACTCAGGGGCCGTTTTCGGGGCCCGGCGCACTTCAAACATGAACCCGTGACAAAAAAATCTCCCCCTGGGGTCGGCGCGTCCTTTACACGTGTTTCTCAGTTTTCGGACTTTACAGGTCCCATTTCCCTCTGCAGCTCGTAGTTGGGCCAGCTCGTGCCCCATGGGTCGGGGAGCCAAGCCCTTTCTTATGAAGGTCCCTCTGGGTATCGAGGCTCTTGGTTCTGCACGTGTTTTCTGCGAAGCAAGGCGTGAAGGAGAGTTGGCCAACTCCGGCGAAGTCTCATACCTCAAGCTGTATGCTGTTATGACCGAGGACTCGGCTTATCCTCCTCGGCCCACCCCACGCCCCGACGTTGGTCCCCAATTAGTTTTCTGGGAGCCTCGCCCAATGCTTGGAACCTCCACCAGCCCGTCCAATGAGATAATCGTCCGGAATGGAACCCTCCTGGCTGCTTTGGCCTCCTGCCGCGAGGAGGTGGAGCGCATCAAGGGCCTCAGGAGAGACGCCTTCCGGACCGCTGCGGCCTGGGGCTTCGCTGTGCTGGGCGTGGCCGAGCAAGACGTGGTTGCCGTGCAGCGGGGCTACAGGGCTCCGTTCCCAGCGTTTGCCATGCGGTGCCCGAGCGTAAGATCTTGGCGACGCAAGGGGTGACGCGAGGGGCCTTTTAGGAAGGCAGAGGCGCTCAGTCGAAGCGTTCGGTGGCTTGTAGAGGGCTGCTTATGAGCCCTGTATACACACGAATTTCCGTTTGTAGAGTGCACTAGCGCGGATTAGCGTCTGATCGTGGATGAGACAGCGTTGATTCAGAATCGACTAGCGTCGGTTAGCGTCGATTTAGAGCCGATTGGACCCATCCGGAATCTTAAGCAGAACCATCAATTTTCGTGGACTCCAGGTTCCGCTAAAGGAAATCAAGAATCTGGGCTGGACCTTGGGCGCTGTCTTGGAGCTTCTGTTTGCGTAACATGGTTGTACATTTGGATCTTGCCTAGTCTTTAAGACAACTAGCCCTGGCGCTTGCGATCCAAAGGTGCCCGTCCGCATCCATTCACCTTTGCCTCGAACTTCCTTAACTCTACGCAGGGATGTAGCGTCGATACGCAAGAGCCAACAATATGGCATGGGCGGCTCCCACGTGCTGCCACCGAAGACTCGTAGAAGCTTCCCTCTTGTACAGCCGCCCTCCCTCGCCCACCCCCCCTCGAGCTCGCCGGCAATACACGGTCTCCGATCGAGTGGTCATTGGTCTTGCGATCCACCGAGCGCGTGCCAGTACCAGCAAAAGAACCTCCAACAACACTCATGTTTGCATCGATGTACTTCAGTCGAGGGCCCTCGTCGCCGCCACTGGTTTCTCCTCGGAGTCCTGGTCAGAACGCACCCCAGGAGAGGTGCAGGGACTAGCGGTATCGGTGCCTTTTTGATTTCCTTGGCAATGGAGTGTAAAGATCCCCCGAGGCGTGCCCAGGTAACTTGCGAGTAGTTCCCCTGCGAGTAGTGGAGCGCGTCAGTGAAGGGATCTGCGCGCCGTGCGATCAGCGTATTGGTGGCTGTGATCTGGGGGCGTCGGGCGCCTGATCTTGAATGGGGGCCCAAAGAATATACACCACCACCACGTCGATTCCTCCTCTCTCCTCTGTCCAGCGAGAGGGAGGGGGGAGGGAGGTGGTGGTGGTGGTGGTGGTGTATTTTGGCCCCCCATTGAAGCTAAGGAACTGATGAGGAAGCTCCACCCAGACAGGGCTGGCTGCTCTCACGCCGTGGAGGCAGCGGTGGAGAGCGTGCGGCAGGCGAAGGAGCTGTGCGAGCGGGGCCTCTCTCGGGAGGCGCCGCCCGGGAAGCCGTCGCAGCTGCGGGCCCACGTCATCGGCACCCAGCCCGGCAAGCGGAAGCTTCGGCTCAATTGGTCGGCGCCGAAGAGCTGCTCGGGCGGGGCGGTCCGGAAGTACGTAGTGGCTGTGCACGACCCGTCGTACGGCAGGGCATTGTCCGTCGCCGTGCTGGAGCCGGATTACAGCCAGGAGTTGAAGCGGTATGTCTCGATGGAGGAGCTCAACTTCTACGTTTTCGCCGAGGAGGACCTGCAGAAGATGCCCAAGGTTTGGCAGCAGGCCTCTGCGCAGGTTCAGGTGGCCGCGGCGAACGACGCGGGTCAGTCGGAATGGGAGGTGCTGCACATCCCCCTAAAGGGGCTTGTGCCCGGTGCGACGATTCAAGCGGACACCAGGCCACCACGCCAGGCTGATGCCGGGGGGCCAAGCGATAGCCGCGGACTTTCTGATCCGTGCATCTTCGCGCTCCATGTTCGCAGGCATCGGGGAGAGAAGCTCCACAAGTGGCTCGGGGAGCAGACGAAGGCAGCGCTGTCGGCTTGGCTGCGGTCCGTGAGCCTCCCTTCCGGCGGCACGAAAGACGAGATGGTAGTCAGGGCCTTCCGCGCCATCGAGAAGACCACTACGCGTTGAACGATTGGATTGCATGAGTGTGGGGATTCACGCGAGGTTCGGGTTGGGCACGCGCGCGGAGCAAAAACGAGTTTTGATCCCCTCGGCCAGAGCCTCCCATCTAGTTCAGAGAGTGATGTGCAATGAGCCAGGGAGGAATCAATTAGACCAGAGCAGCGCAGTACGAAATGTCAAGCAGCAAGCCCAGGCAGCTTCGACCGAGCATCGAGCGAGGAGGTCAGGTTGCAAGAGGGGACGAAGGAGGGCGGGAGTGCGCGCGGGAGGTCTGTAACGAGGGCGCCTCAGTGATTGCACATGTTGTGCTGCCTGTGGGTGTGTCACGTGCCAATCGACGAGCTCAACAGCAATAGCAAGTGCGCAATCGCACGGCAGGCTGGAAGAAGGTGCACGGCCGATGCGGGAGGCACACGCTTCGGCTCGCGACCAGCGCTTGCGCCCTGGGCCTGCCATCGAGACCGAGACGGGGTCGTGGCCTTGGACGCAGGCGGAGCACCAGCGGAGATGTCGTTGGGGAGTCGACGAGCCTCCCTGGGGGAGAGGTCTCAATGTTGCTAATAAGTAGAGGGAGGAGGAGGGAGGAGGAGGGAGGGCGGAGGAGGAGGAGGAGGAGAAGGGAGGAAAAGGGATGAGAAGGCAGGAGGAGGAGGAGAAAGAGGAGGAGGAGGAGGAGGAGGAGGAGGAGGAGGAAGAGGATAATGTAGGAGAGAGGAGAAGGGAGGAGGAGGAGAAGGAAGAGGGAGGAGAAGGAGGGAGGATGGTACTCCTGCGGACGTCCGGGAGGGGGAGAGCCGGCGCTCCCAGTGGAAGCGGGTGTTGAAGAGTCTGAATTTGCTGGAGTTCTTGGTCAAGAACGGCAGTGACCGCGTCGTAGACGAGGCACGCGCGTCGGGGGGCTTGCACGAGATTTTGCAACCGGGGCGGAATGCGGGAAGGCG